CATCTCTCTTTTTTTTTTATCTATGACATCGCCCCCATATAGAGATATATAGAGAGATTTATCTATATATATATATATATATATATATATATATATATATATATATATATATATATATATATATATATATATATATATATATATATATATACCGAGCGATATACCGAAATATACCGCTTAGTATATAGTACTGTACCATACCAAATAAGTCAAAATTTCGATACAGTACGAAATTTCAATCCTTGTTTTTAATACCTATTAGGGTATTTGACATGTTTATAGCATTGAAAGAGGAGTAATTAATGAGTAATTAACTATGTTAATCATATGATTAGTGTATTTAATGATAATTTCATCATAATTTGATGTATATTGGATCAAAATTACATATTTAATATTTCTTTTATATATTTCACATATTTATGATGGTAAAATCGATTTAATTAGGTTTTATTAAAGTTATTTAATGCTGCGATTACTGATTTTAATGATGATTTAATCGAAATTTGATCGATTTTAAGTCAATTTAATATCTTTAATACCTATTAGGGTGTTTGACATGTTTATAGCGTTGAAAGAGAAATAATTGATGGGTAATTAACTGTTAATCATATCATTAGTGTATTTAATGATGATTTGCCACCAATGAGATAGCACCTACTGGGATTGTGCTTTAATACCTGGGTAATTAACTGTAAACGATGAGATACTCCAACTGGAGTCACTCAATTTGCCACCAACTTCATTGCATTAAGGTCATTACAGCAAAAGAGGCATGACATGAAGGCAATCGTCACCTCACATTCCAGATATTCGAGATCGAGTGATAGAAAGAAGATAAAAAAGACCATTCTTTCCAATAGATTTTGGGAGACTACGGTTGAAATCATAAAAGGTGTAGAATCACTTTATGTTGTTCTTCATAAGGTCAATATGGACAAGCATCCAACAAAATCGTATCTTAAATATATGCTAATTTTAGCAAGAGAGGAGGTTAGGAAAGCATTCAAACATGATTTTAAAGCCAACTAATACGTACGAATCATTGATCATCAGACTGAAGTTCATATGGATCAATAAATTCCTATTCAAAATAATTTAATTTATTATTTTTTGTACAATAAAAAATCATACTAACAAAATTATGTCTCACAACATATTATCTAAACATAACAATTCAATATTAGTATGCTCTCAAAACGTAAAATAATTTACTAACGGCACTACGAAATGTTATATATCGACTCTTGCCAAACACTACTGATGCAGCCGATGCTCTTATAGAGGGTCGATTATTTCGAGAAACAATTAGTTCATTCTCCGACGTTGTAGTTGTATCGTGTCGTTACACTATGAATCCTGATGAGGAAAAGTTACACATATTAATTATTAATTATATTTAATGTTAATTATTTGTTATGCTAATAAAGTCTTATTTATATCTTTTTGCAGTCGAGTGGTGGCTACAATTTAGTGGGGATGCACCACATTGAAGGAAGATTATTGTTCGTGTACTTTCACAGACGACGACATCTAGTGGTTGCAAACATAATTGGCCAATGTTCGTACTGATTCACACAAAAGTCCACAATAGACTCTCGTATAGACGATTAGAGAAACTCGTATATGCCCATTATAACATGTTGTAAAGGTTATGGTGTGCCAAGCTAGATAAGGAGCTAGAGGAACCAGAGATTGATCCTATCGACCTCCAATTCTACAATGAAGATTCAGAGCCGATGTTAGAGTGGATTGAAGCGGCAAAGAACCAAGAGGATCCTCTACTTGATGAGGTGGGAGATCCTCAATGTCCTTCACGTTTTATCACCGCAGCAATAGAAGAAGAGAAAGCACAATCCCAGTAGGTGAAAAATCTCCCTCGGTCACAACGTGGCGGAAAGAGTCAAACAACATCAAGTCAGACTGCTCGAGGAACTACAAACACCCAACTGTCACAATCGTTCGCCCAGCATGCAAAGGCAAAAGCAAAGGGGAAGGTAGTAGCATCAGCCGCATCATTAGAAAGAATCGAGTCGGACGATGAGACACCTTCATAATCGCATTCAGCAACTCGATCGGTCTAGAGACATGACAGCAACACGGACAACAGTGCCTCGACGGATGATGGCGACGACGCTGGGCAATCGTTGGTCTCGTCTACACAACTGGAGGATAGTGCATGGACTGAGGAGCAATGTTTTACACATGCCACCCAAGATTCAAATTATGGAACTCGACAAGGAACTGGTCAAGTTTATGTGTGGAAGGAGAAGAGAAAGGGGAAGGCAATGGATGAATTTGAGCAAATGCGACAGAGCCTACACAATGTAGACACAGAACGAAGCTCATCGTATTCACAGCCATTGTATTATGGAGAATCTTATGGCCAACAATAGTACGGTGATAGTTGGCTATACTTCTCTGAGCAACAGATTAGTAGCGAAAATAGAAGCTCTGACATTCACCAATACATGTCTCAGGAGCCACCTCGGACACATGTGATTCATCACGATCAACCTATGATCATCACCACATTGATGCACCGATGGCAAACGATGTATCAATACACTATGTTGTGGGATCAATTTCAAGATTGGGTCCAACAAACATATCATATTGATATGCGGATACATAGGATCGAGGACCCCGATCCGTCACCCATGGAGGCCCGCCGTTCGTTTTGGTGGTAGAATCAACAATCAAGTATATCTACATATGTGATTATTTAATTTATTTGAATCTTAAAGTTTATATTATAACAAGATACTCTAACAATTCAAATGATTTTTTTTAGATATTTCGATATTTACAAAAAGACGATCCGTAACGGACCGAAATTGCAAACCTTGCACAAGGCTATTCCTTAAAGCCCGAAAAAGATATATGATAATATTTTTACCTAATTTACATTGATTTTACTAAACCTATACTAAATGTATATTTATTTCTAACTTAAAAACCATATCCTAACTTTTTTTTTCCTATTTTTCAAGTATTTTCGGATGATTTTACACCTAAATTAGGTGTACCGCTCAGTATGTCGTAATGTACTATACCAAGCAAAGCTCGGTACACCGGTATGGTACGAAATTTCAATCTTTGGGAAAAACAGCTATATCACAAAAGAAGATTAAGAAGGACCTACATATATGAACTAAGTTGGTTAATATTCATAATCAAGGATGATCATTTTATGCAACTCTGGCAACCTCCTCCATATTAGTTATTACAAAGTAGGGTTGTTTAGAGCATAACAAAACTTTATTATATCATAACCCATACTGGTGTCCAAAAATAAAATAGAGTGACAACAAAATTTAGATGACAAAGCAAACAAGAATAAGTTCTTAATGAAAAAAAAAATCACTAATTACATCATGATCCACCAAGTAATAAAATTCTACAAAGAAAAAATCCACTCTACATGAAAAGCCAGAAACATTCATGATGCAATAATTTCAAAATAAAAGCAAGTTAAAGTGAAGAGGTTCCAGCTTTTACCTGGTAAATTCTCATGTCATCCAGGTGAATTCGTGCATAAGCATTGTCTTTAGCCAAAGATGTAATGTCACTGCAGTCAGAATAAAAGAAGAACAAAATCTTAAAATAGAATAAAGTAACCGCAATGCTCCACCTGTACTCAATCAAATAGCACAAGTTACTAAAAATAATATTTTAAATGAAAATTTCCAACTTCAATAGCAAAGATGTAATACCTTCTGGAGTATGCATCCAGCAAACAGTCATGATCATCAATTATTGGTATTGAACTAACTTGAGCTACATATAGAATAATGAGTGAAATAAGAAAAACATATTCTGTAATAATAGATAAAAAGGGTGAACCAAAAAATGAATTGTGAAAGGACCATGCATTTATAGATCGCAGGAGAAATCAATATATGTGCAGCATAGAGTAACAAAATTGATTCAAGGATTACATTAAGGTTACAAATCAACGAAAACATGAAGTCCTCCAAGTCACATAGGATTTGAGAAGTTCAAACTGGATCTCACTCTAAGGAACTATCCCCGCATGAGGAATTTAGTGACTCCTTTTCAACAAGGAATACACAAATGAACATTAGGAATATGAAAAAAAAATTGAGTTTTGAGTGTAACACAAACTTACCATTTAAAAAGATACAACATATGACGATAACTTTAACAGCAAATAACCTGAATAGTTTTCTATGTACGGAGAGTTGACATGCATGGGCTAACAACCCAAGTGATGCAAAAGTTAGCCTCGTCTATATCTAATTCTTCGCCATCAACTCATCAAAAGACAAAATTTTAACAAACCAACAGGGAAAACATATTGCTCGGAAGATCCACACTGAGTACAGAACTTTATAGGTCATATTTGCATGCATAGCCCTAAAAAGATTCAACTCATATTCTCATAAAGAGGCCCCTCTGGAAGGTATTATAAAATCTGAAACACAGCAGATCTTATAATGCTATGCAAAGATAACATTTTATGTGTATACATATACTAAAAAAATTGATCAAAAATGTAAACAGTCAAACCTTGCACTAACAGTGCTAGGGCAGAGCTAAGTGATTCATTTGGTCTAAGCATTGCCAAGTGCTTCCCATTTGATTCACCGATTCGTTGAATCCATGTGCCCACAGGAATAGTGCATATTGCTTGTTGCAAAATGGGCAATGAAACAGAAGAATGTCTAAAATGCCTGCAGATACCTGAAATTTTAAAACCAGAATTGCTGAAAATGCATCAATCTCACTGTCATTAAGCCCAATAAACAAGAAAATTGTAGAAATAGGTGCAAGGTTAACTGAGAATAGCCAAATGTTAGAGCTTACATTTCATTATTTCTGAAAGGGATGCAAGATAAAGCAAATGTGGAAATGATTCCCCACGTGATGAAATAATTGGTACTGTTGCTACCTGATTTTGCAATATCTTCAATGCAACATCTTTCAATGAATCATAGGGCTCAGCCTGTAACAATGTAAATGATTTAGTAAATGACAGCAATTATAACATTTATAAGATAAAAATCTGACATAGTAAAGATACATGGATGGTAGCTTCAAAATAAATATGATAAAGAAAACAACAAAAAACTAGGCTAAACTAAAGGCAATCAACTTGAACTTAATGGTAGATGAAGAACAATAAATTAATCGATCCGGAAAGTAATCAATTTACATGTCTAATTAAGAAAAGCATATATTTATGTGAACAAATGCATATGCACTACATTTGTAAAAAGGTTCCCTGATGAAACTAATATCATGATTATGAACACAGCTTTTGCTAGAACCAAATACAGAACATACTTGGGTACAATAACTTAAGAAGACTAAAATTTTTTATTAATATTTCATAATAAAAACAAGCATGCATGTTCAACTCTAAAATTTTCTTTACACAATCACATGTGATGAAATATAAATATAGAAGGCAAGAATGTACGAAAATAAATTGACTCTAGTCGATAATGAAAGATGACAATTTAACAATTAATATTTGTATAAGCACCCATTAAATTAAGAAGGGAAAAAACAAATCTAATGAGCAACACATGATGTTTTGCTACTTGACTGTTTGGAGTGTCATCATGTTTCAGGGCCAAATACTGTACATACTTGATTAGTAGGGTTTTGTGACAGAAACCCCCCCTATAATCAACCAAATCTTGAGTTAATTACTAACAGATCTACATTTGGCACTTCCATATATTCTCCTATAGAAGTGGAAACTAGAAGAAAGGTTAGATCAAAGGCTTCTCCATTCACCTTTAAGCAACAGGGCCAACAATGTTGGACTAGGAATGACTGAACACCCATAAAAGCAAAAGATACCTATCAGTTCTGATCAGTTAGGAGCTGACAGGACAGACATTAACCAGCAAACTAGCTATTTTCTCATTTGCGACAAGTTGAGAGAAATAGGAACATATTGGTGAGATTTAGAGAGGACATGTAGAAAACAAGCAGAAGAAAGAAAAAGGGACAAAATAATTGACAGGAGCCTAAAACATTAATTTTTTACTTTATTTGTAAAAATTTCAGACATACTACTCAGAAGAAAAAAATAGCTACACATCACTTTTTCATGATCAAACTGTTTGGCTTGATGTAGAGCTCGTGTCTAACAAAAGAAAAAGAAATTAGCAGCAACCAATGTCCTGCTAAGAGTGCTTAATAGGTTCTCGATATTAAGAGACAGAGGAACCTTTTGTAGGGTTATGTGGCACCTTCCTCAAACTTTAAAATGACTTCAGGATAAGAAAAGCACAATGAAATATTTGGCTAAGTGTCTACCTATTGTTAACGCAAAATCAGTCCCTTACTATAATGATAACCAATATAAATCTGATGATTGATTCTCCCATATCAAAGTTACCCTTCTTTAAGTGAAAGTTGTAACTCCATGAAAACAAGAGAGCAAGAATGAAATATAACTAAATTAAATGTATTGCACATAAAGAGAACAAATATCCAAGTATATCATTTAACTGATTATCTCTGTTACATACAAGAGTGGCAGTGTTGTCAAAGGCACTAGGCACTAAAAGGTATCCAATTATCTCATTTAATTGACAATCTTAGTTACATATAAGAGTGGTAGTGTTGTCAAAGGCATTAGGCACTAAAATGTGCCAAGGCTCCAAAAAGCCTCAGGTGCTAAGCGCTTGAGCACCCCCCCCCCCCCCCCCCCCCCAGTATAAAAAATGGCCTCGACGACGTCACCCCACGTGGGAGAAGGAAAAGGCGACGTTGCCGAGGCGATGCGACATCACC